CGGACAAAACGGCAACAACAGCGGCGGATCTGCAGCAGGAGCAGCAGCGGTTTACCAGCAGCATATCACCACCATCGGCAGCATGCAGGGTAAGTGAAGGGGAAACGTTAGCCTTTAGCCTGTGGTTTGCTGTGACGATAGTGAAGGTTAATGTTAGCCATCGCGGGAGAGCTAACAAGTGATACCGAGGCTACTCCCTGCTCTGAGAAATGGGGTTTATGTGGAAATGGACATCCGCATTTTTGAAAGTGACACAATTTAATACCCATGTTGCCGTTTCAGTTGTTTTGCAGATGAAAATAGTGTCGCCCTATTTTCATCTCTTTCATTCCAAAAGCCCGATATGTAAAAAAAAAAAAAAAAAAAAGTACCGTTATTTATGAACATCACAAATTATATGAGTAATGTCAGCCTAATCGGTAGAAATAAATAATAATAAATAAATTAAGTATTAGTTACATTACTCGCGTTGAGATCAGTTCGTGTACAATGTGTACTACATGGTACTATATCTAGTCAATCACCGAAGATTTTGGATCAATCCAGATATTGTTTTCCAAAACTACGCAGATAAAGAAGTCAGTTTTGTTTCGCAATGATTATTAGTGGTTTTATATAATCCAGTTATAGGCTTATTGCAATCAAAAGCTTCTGCGGTTGCATACAAATCATTTACTCTAACGTCCTTGACATTAATCAGTCACAATTATTTATGAATGCAAAATTATTTATGGACTGTGTTTGTATTGATAGTATGTATGTCCAGTCAGTTTTAGAAGGCTTTTTTTAATGTAAAAAAAAAACATGGAAATCACTATAACTGCTACGGTTGCTAAGGTGTAATTATTTTGTTTGCCTCAATACTTAGATACAATTGGTCATCTTATTTAGAAATACTAATGCTGATTACCTTGTTGGCTTTATTGTGAAAACAAACCCTGGTTTTATTTTATTTTTTTTAGAGTCCAACACCTGCTGGAGATGTCAGAGTGAAACAGGTAAGCGCACACTTCTTCACCCTCAACAATGCACCATTTTTCAATCTGAAGCAAAGACATTTATAAAAAAAATTTTTTTTGTGATCAACAAAATGTGACCTCTGCCTTCAGCCCATCACCTTAGTGAGCAGCGGGCAGTTTAGGGGAGCAGTGTGTGGGTACGGTGCCGTGCTCAGTTCACCTCAGTGGCACCTGGTGGCTGGTGGATTCGAACCATCTGACACAAGAAGCTACCTTGACCACCAGGCCACCACTGCCCGCTTTTATTAAGCTGATTTGGGGTTAAGTGGTTTTTCTTAGTTGAAACTGAATCAGTTTGATTAGGGCAGTGGTTCTCAAACTGCGGTATGCGTGCCACACAGTGGTACCCGAGCGCCCTCTAGTGGTACGTGGGGGGAAATTCATATTTTCACGTTTACATTTTTAGTTGAATAAATCTGAAACATACCATGCGCAATTAATGCAACATTTAAACATAAACATTTTATAAACTCTCTCTCCTGTGTGGTGGAAGCTAATAGGTAAGGTCTATGTATCTATATGCTAATGTTGGTCATCATGGTGGTACTCGGAGAGCTCAGTGTTTTCTCAGGTGGTACAGAGTATACAAGTTTGGATTAGCGAATGGCTTCGATGGATGCTAAGTCAAACTAGTGCTGATTAAAACTACAGTGATCCCTCTCCTATCGCGGTAGTTGCGGAAAAATCGCGAAGTAGAGGCAAGGGTAGTTAATACCCTTTCGCACACAATAATATGCACAGTCGAGTTGTATAATGGCTGAGTAACTGAGTAACAATGCCTGAGCCAATCAGAGTGAGGAACAGAAGAGCATGCTCAGTTAGCCAACAGTACACCGAGTACTCATTGTATTAGCCAATAGTATGCTGTGTACGATCACGTCCAGGGAAACGAACCTACCGGCGACCGTTCGCATATGCGCTTATCGCACTTTCAAAAACGAGAATTTTTGCTGCATTTCGGAATATAGCAAAAAATTTTCGCAAGATCGGATTAAAAACAATCTGTATGTACTGCTCCGATGTACTGAGGGAGCAAAAGGAGAACCGCGATATAGAGAGGGAACACTGTAATCGAGCTTAGCGTCGCGGGATAAGCCAAGGGGATGCTTCTTTCGCTTAATCATTACGATATTAGTGTAGACGTTATATTTGCATATTTGCGTTCCTTCCTTTTTTTGTCGACCTGATACTTAGCATATGCTCATGTAATTGGAAGAACCTAGCCATTTATTGTATTTGTGCTACTGACTAAAAAAAGATGGTCGGAAAATAGCCATCGTTGAACAGTGTTTGAACAGTGTCAAGTTCCGTACAAAAAAAAAAAGAATACCATCATTTCAATGTAGCCCTTTTTTACCATCGACTTGGCCTCAATAGCCACAGCGTCTCTTAGTAAACTAATATTATCCATGTTTTTTTTTTTTTTTTTGTTCTAAATTCAATCGAAATCAATTCCCCTGCAACTTTATAGTTTTGTTACTCGAATGTCATTTCTGATTCTATAATTAGTCATTCTGTCCATGTAACGAAAGGCTAATTGTTAGCTGTTGTATTCCAATCGTGTTATTATTCATTGTTACCTGAGCATGTTTTAACCTACCTGCTTCTAACCGATGTTTTCCACACTGCTGACATGGTGCTGAAAATGGTGAGCTGTCCTGCGACTAAAGAAACAACTGTTCATATCTGTTTGATCGCTTGTGTTCCTAATTTGCAAAGCCATTTCATACTAAAGTCTTGTGTCTTCTTTTCATTCTAACAGCCTGTTTTGTTTTGTTTTTTTCCCCTCCTTTTGTTTTCTGTCACCCTGAAATATGACGTGATTTTTGTGCATGCATGCTCTAGCCACTTTAGGAACTACTGCTGTAAAGGGCATTTTTAGGAAACAATGCTAGTTCCCTGGCAGTTAACAGACACGAAACTGTTTAAATTTAGGCGATAGGTCATAGGTTATCTTTTCTCTTAAAAAAAATGTTCTCTGCTTTAGCCGGTGTTTGTTATGACACCACGTGGGGTAGCCTGAAATGTCTAGTAATTGAGAATAAAAAAAGAATTTTTTTTTTTTTTAACGAACAGCTGTATTTTTTTTCACTTTCATAAATATGCATTGAGTTTAAATAAAATGAAAAAATTATATTTGGGCCATTGTCAGAGTGAAACAAATTTGAGATTATTCTGTTTCACAAGTTACTTTCCCCTAATTTATAAATAGGAACTATACTGACAATAGTTATTTGTCTAACTGTCCTAGTTAACAACGCCGATTTTTTTGAACACCTAGCTCATGCGTGCGCTTACGTGTAAGTTTATGTTATTTCTAATGAAGTACTACATTGTACTTAAGAGACATTCAGGTTTTGTTCTGTGAAAAGCACTACAGTAATTTGAGGAAAATCAACAGAGAAGCATCTGTGACACCCTTGAAGACACTGGAACTATTTTGAGAGAAAAGTTGTTGTGAAAATGATAACAATTTCCAAGGCTCGGTGACTCAGGCGAGGACATTGAGAATTGAGACATTTTTAAAACGGCCTTGTCGGTTACATTTCTTAAACAGTCACAGACCAGTAAAGTAGGATTTTCAAATGCATTTTTTGGTNNNNTATGTATATGTGTGTGTATATATGTGTATATATGTATATATATGTGTATATGTATATATATGTATATATATGTATATACATATATATGTATATATATGTAAATATATATATACATATATGTATATATATGTGTATATATATGTATATATACCTGCTTACATATATATGTAAGCAGGCGTGATAACCGCTACACTATTGAACCACCTGATGAGTGGAACGAGGTACTAAATGGAAATGGGTTCCTCTGAACCCCAATCGCTTAGAAATGAAAGCTTGAGCAATGGGTCTGCTATAATCTGTATCAATTCAGCGGTTGAACTCAAAATGGACATTAAAGTTATCTCACTTGTCCAAGCTGTTTTAGGATTGTCTTACAGCAGCCTGCTTAAAAAAAACAAACAAAATAATGTTATCATCTTGTTGGTTACGTCTCACTTAAAATCTTTTGTATTGACCGTGTGCGCGCTATAACAATATTTTCTGAAAGCTTTGACAGTTGCGTGGACTACTGTGTTGCGATACCAAGTACAACCTGCAAATTTCCTTTAAAATGCATACCCGAGGATGGAAAAAAAAAAAGAGAGTCGTCAACCTTTAGGAGTGTGACGTATACTGTCCTCTGCAGTAGTCCACCAGTGAGCTATCTTGTTATGTTAGTCTTTTGTTGTAAAGTTATTTTTGTCCCTCTTGTCCTTTTTCTCAGCAATGTCAATGTCACTCATTTTGGCAGAATCCAAAGTATGTGTTTATTCCCTAAAAAAACAAACAAACTATGGCTTAAGTTAGTGCTGAGGAAAACACTGATGTTTTTTTATAGTTGCCCTAAATACTGATTCTTTGCCCTAAATAGTGATTTCTGTGCTACATACGTCCCCTGAGCGAGCTCAGATTTAGTGTCTCCTTGACTGCAGAAACAGGAGGAAATCTCAACATCTTAATCATTAAACATTTATTTTCTGTGAGTAACAAAATGTGTTGTTGATTAAACTCTTTGGTCAGGAAACTGTGAGGAATGTTGGTCAGTCCAAACCAGGCGTCGGCAAACGTTTTGACTCTTGGGCCACTATTGTCCTAAAATTGAACAAGGGGTCGGGTGAGGAGCAGATAGAAGGAGCGTTCGTGTGAACTAAGATAAATGAACATGTAAAAGTCATGCATAAAGGCTCAAATGCTTTTATCATTTTCTACGCCACCTATTGGGGAGACGTGGGTAACGCAGGGAAATGGCAGAAGTATAATGATAACATAAATAAATTATATAATTTGGAAAAGTTTGGCGGGCCGGATTAAAAAGCTGAACGGGCCGCATCCAGCCCCTGGGCGTTAGTTTGCCCATGGCTGGTCTTAAGAATGTTTTTGTATTGTGCAGTTTTCTCATCTTGCAGCGAAGTTTTCTAAATCTGCAAGATTTGAGTGAGATAATACTGTAGTATTTACCCCGAAGAATCTGGGATTGAATTTTTCGGGGATAAAAAGTTGTCATGGAAATTAGTGGTGGGGTGTTCAGATTTTTTTGTAAATGTGATAAAAAAAAAAATAGAGATATTTCCTGCTTGTCTGCATGTTCTACAGAAAGCATGACTTGCAAGTTTAAATATACCAGATCTTTTTACTTTTATACTTCATCCCATTGTACGTTTATATTCCCCACTACACCTGTTTGCACATTCAATGTTTGTTTTTTTGCGTCTTTTTACTTAATTTTTCCATTGACCTTATTGTTATCTAATTATATTGAACTGTTTCCTGTCACCTTTAAGGTAAACGGAAAGCGCTGAAGTTGAACTTCGCCAACCCCCCAATCAAACCTACAACTCGGTTCACACTGAACACAGCGGGACCACCTTTCCAAAACCCCCACATGTGAGTAAACACTTTACAACATTAACATTACATTTGGTCAGATTTATGATCGTAGTCGTAGGATTGTGCCAAAAATATCGATACGATCATATATTGGAATACTTTGTCTTACAGTACGTTATCGATATGCTGGCGACAAATATCGGAATTGAAACAAATAAACATGCAGTCGTTTTAAACTGTTTCTCCCAGAGAAACCTGCTGCAACTCGCTTAAGCCTCCACATGATGGCGCCAGGCACCACTGCTTGAGAGGGAGTGAGTGCATAAATCGAAACTAACCAGGCTAAGCTGGCCAGCATTTGACGTCTCTGTTTATGTGCTGGGACCCTATATGAACTATGGTAGTTCTCTGTTTATGTGCTGGGACCCTATATAAACTATGGTAGTAAGAGCCATTGATGTTGATTATCGCTGTATCGTGACGTAATAGTTGTCATAGGCAAAATATGTCGTAAGTATAATATCGCAAGAAATCTGGTGATACCCAGCCCTAGTAGGTTAGTAAAAATAACTGGGATTAAGAAAGAAAAAAAATGGCCGAGCTTGCTGTCAATGTTGATGATTGATGAAAATTAGTATGACTGGTGGAAAAGGTGGTTATTAGACAGAAAATTCAAAGCATTAATACGTTATAAGAATGGTCATATCATATAGCAAAGAAAATACCAGAGCAGGAGATCAGATTGGAAGAGAGAACGATGGAATTATATGAGAGGAATCAGATTATAATTGGAGGGAAAACAAGGATTGATAAAAAAATTGTATATACAAAGTGAAGACAAACCAAAAAGTCTCCTGAAGGTATAACCGGAAACAAATTTTTAAAAAAATGAACATCCATAATTATCCAGAGATTTTATCCTAAAATGTAACTGAAACCACTACATTATTCACAACAAGAGTTTTGACTTATTTTATTGGCTCGATGCTGCTGATAGGCCACACCGCTTTTGTGATATTGTTCCATTTCTCACCTCATCTTTAATCAAATTAATTATTAACTATTCATACTATATCATATATTTAATCTATTTATAAACTTGTTCACATAACATCCTTATAATTATACCAGTTCTGCTTAAATATACGTACATATACATACTATCGAGATAATGTAGTATACTTAGTATACATACTATATATGTATGTGTGTGTATATATATGTGTATATATATATGTATATATGTGTATATATATGTATATATGTGTGTGTGTGTATATATTGTATGTATACATATATATATGTCTATAGATATGTCTATATATCTATATATGTGTATATATATATGTATATATGTGTATATATATGTATATATGTGTGTGTGTGTATATATTGTATGTATACATATATATATGTCTATAGATATGTCTATATATCTATATATGTGTATATATATATGTATATATGTGTATATATATGTATATATGTGTGTGTGTGTGTGTATATATATATATGTGTATATATACAGTATATCCACTCTCTGTCTCTTTCACAGTGGTGTATAAAAATGTCTGGTGTCATTTGACTTTCAGAGAATTCGCTCAACAGTAGACGAAAAAGAGCAGAAGCAGCTGCTTATGGACTTGGATGTCGTGATGAGAAGTAGTGACTGTCCTTACATTGTGCAGTTTTATGGCGCTCTGTTTCGAGAGGTAAGACAAAGATGCGTTCCCGCTTCTCAAATTAGCCTAATAGAAGTAAAACAGCGAGGATCTGATTGGATGAGATAAAGGATCTGATTGGACAATATAAAGAAGGAATGAAATTGAGAAAAAAATAAGAAGAGATCGGATTGGTGGAAAAGGTGGGACCTTATTAGACAGAAAATTCAAAGTATTAATACGTGATAAGAATGATCATATCATATAGCAAAGAAAATACCAGAGCAGGTGTCTGATTGGAAGAATAAAGGATGAATCTTAATTGATGAGAGAAAGGAGCTATCTTGATTGGATGACCATGATGATGGATTTATGGGAAGAAAAAGCGGGAGATCAGATTGGAAGAGAGAACGATGGAATTATATGAGAGGAATCAGATTATAATTGGAGGGAAAACAAGGATTGATAAAAAAATTGTATATACAAAGTGAAGACAAACCAAAAAGTCTCCTGAAGGTATAACCGGAAACAAATTTTTAAAAAAATGAACATCCATAATTATCCAGAGATTTTATCCTAAAATGTAACTGAAACCACTACATTATTCACAACAAGAGTTTTGACTTATTTTATTGGCTCGATGCTGCTGATAGGCCACACCGCTTTTGTGATATTGTTCCATTTCTCACCTCATCTTTAATCAAATTAATTATTAATTATTCATACTGTATCATATATTTAATCTATTTATAAACTTGTTCACATAACATCCTTATAATTATACCAGTTCTGCTTAAATATACGTACATATACATACTATCGAGGTAATGTAGTATACTTAGTATACGTAACCAGTTCTGCTTAAATATACGTACATATACATACTATCGAGATAATGTAGTATACTTAGTATACATACTATATATGTATGTGTGTGTATATATATGTGTATATATATATGTATACCTATATATTAGTCATATACAATATATATATTAGTTGGTTCCATGGTGTTGACAGCCTGTTAACAGTATAGTATAGTTCTAATTTATTTTTATTTTATATACATGTGTATATATATGTATATATATATATGTATATATTTATGTATATATATATATATATATGTATATATATGCATATATATGCATATATATATATATATAATTGATATATATATATAAATAATAATTGAGATTGCAATCAATAAAACCACACATGGTAACAAAAATTACGTATTATTACTAATCTGTGTCTCTCCATCCATCCATCCATCCATCCATCCATCCAGTCTGGGTTGCAACAAGCAGTTTAACGCAGTGTTTGTACTGCACTTTCAACTTTGAACTGGATGCTTTTCAGCTCTAGTCTGAAAATATAAAAGTTGAATCACAATTACATTTCTCCACATCATTTTTGTAATTGGCAAAAAGCGCTCTGACGCCCCCTGGGGGAGTCCCAAAGTAAGGAGAAAAAAAAGCCACACAACTGCATCCATTTAAAAAAAGGTCTTTTCTTCTGACTGTACCCTTGGACAGAATAATGGTAAAAAAAGGTCTTTTCTTCTGACTGTATCTTTGGACAGAACAATGGCAACATTATTTTCTCAAATAAAACCTTGTATGGATTTTTGTTTACCTGTGTTCTGCATTGTGTTTCTGTCTTTCAGGGTGATTGTTGGATTTGTATGGAACTCATGGCTACCTCGTTAGACAAATTTTACAAGTTTGTATATTGCTCATTAGATGATGTGATTCCAGAAGAAATACTAGGAAAAATAACATTAGCTGTAAGTTGTTCAGAACTTCACATAAGATTTTTTTTTTTTTTTTTTTTTTAACAGAGCTGATTTTTCTTTTTTCAGACTGTGAAAGCACTAAACCACTTAAAAGAAAACTTGAAAATAATACACAGAGGTAAAGTACTGTTTTCACATCCTGTATCTCTTGTGCGTTTGGTCGTAGGATTTTTTTTTTTATTTTAATGAATAAAGATTTGTTCTCTTTCTTTCAGACATCAAACCCTCAAATATCCTCCTGGACAGGAATGGAAACATAAAGTTGTGTGACTTTGGAATCAGCGGTCAGCTCGTGGACTCCATTGCTAAAACCAGAGATGCTGGTTGCAGACCATACATGGCTGTGAGTACAACAGATGTAATGGTTCAGAATATATAGACATACAAGATGTAAAGCTTTGAGTTCTAATTCTAATTCTAATAATTTGTTCTCGCGTCCTGGGATGGCCTGTAGAGGAGTGTAGTAAAAAAAAAAAAGTGTCTGTCAAGGATTCTGTTGACATATAAAATAAAATATTGTATTATAAGATCTAGCTCCAAACACGGGTGTGTCATGGCTTTTGTGCTGCATATTTTGTCCTGGTGGAAACAGAATGGATTCATCTAGTAGTGGGGTTTGATGATCATTGGTCCTGATTAGGCCAGAAACAAACAAAAAAAATCGTATCTCTTTTGCCACCAGACCAATAGATGTCATTTTATCTGAAACTATTTTTTCAGCCCCGATGCCTTTTTAGTTCCTTTTTGTATCTGGACCTATGTGCAAACATTTTTCTTCTTAATTTTCCAGCCTGAGAGAATAGACCCCAGCGCATCCAGACAAGGATACGATGTCCGCTCTGATGTTTGGAGTTTAGGAATCACATTGGTGAGTACAGATTTTTATTTATTTTTTTTGGCAACAGGGAATATTCCCTGTTTTTTTTATATATATATATATATATATATATATANNNTATGTATATGTATATATATATGTATATATGTATGTGTATATATATATATATATATATATATATATATATATTTGTATTAGGCTGTTATTTGGATTGATATACAGACTGTTTCCCAAAAATTGATAAAGAGTTTGATTTTTAACAAACATTCAGATTGCCTGTTTTTGGCCATTTCCAAGATGCCAAATGCAGGACAAGATGCTGGTAATTCACAACAGCAGAGGAAACGTTATTGGTTAAAAAAAAACAAACAAAAAGTTGATTTATTTGTCGGTAGTTTAGCGAAAGAATGTGTTCTGTTTTAAACCCCATAATCCTAGCTTCTTCTGTCTCTTGCAACAGCACAAGTGAACGAAGCAATGAGTCATGGCTATAACACTGGTGCTGTTCAGCACAGCTTATAATAACCACTTCCAGTGGACAGTTAACTTTTTCCCTCCATAATACAGTACGTAGTACGTAGCTAATAATATCCTCACCGTTCGGCGTTTCGCGGTTATGTCGCCATCTTCTTATACATTTTGTTTAGAAAGTCTTGTTCCATCATTCCAATGTACGATACATTTTGTACAGGAACTAGTTGGAGGGAAAAAACGCGGAAATGTCCTCGATAAAGTACATCACGACCAGATGGAAATGTTCAACCTTACATTATTTTTGTATATATTTGTAAATATTTCCCCCCTTACGCATCATCCATCGTATCTTTCAGTATGAGTTGGCCACAGGACGGTTTCCTTATCCAAAGTGGAACAGCGTGTTTGACCAGTTAACTCAGGTGGTGAGAGGAGATCCACCACAGCTGAGTAACTCAGAAGAGAGACGCTTTTCCCCCAAATTCATCGCCTTTGTCAACGTGTGGTAAGAATGGAATGCAATGGAATACGTTAGGTTGAAGGATGAACTTTGGTGTGTCCACCAGGGACTTACTCAGTTAGAATTACCCTGAAATATCGAAAAAAAATTTCGAGTCGAAAATGTCCTGCTAGTCTTATGTGACACAATATGTTGACCATATTGGGCTTGTTATTTAAACGTTGGGCTGTTGAATGCCTCTATATTGTGTGTATGGAATTACATGTTATGAATTATATTAAGGAATAGTAAATAATTAGAGATAACCAAAGGTTAGCCCAGTATATTTCAAGTAAGCCAGGAAAATGGCTAAATGTTATCCCAGATAGACATTGAGATCTTAAGAATTCTACATTTATTTGGAGAGGAAACACATTCTGATAGTTTCCCTTTTTCCCCCCGTTTTTTATCAATAAGTCAACGTGTGGTAAGAATGGAATGCAAGGAATACGTTAGGTTGAAGGATGAACCTTTTTTCCCCCTGTTTTTAATCAATTTTCTTTTCTCTCTCTCTATTTTAAAGCCTTACAAAGGACGAGTCCAAAAGGCCAAAGTACAAAGAGCTACTGGTAAGTTCCTGTCTTTGACATTATTTTATATTTCAGTTCCGTGATTCTCAACTGGTGGGTGAGCAGGGTCTTCCCAAATTCACATCCCTTATCATAACGTGGCGACGGTGATCCGAGGCTCGACCGGTTGAGAACCACTGCTTTGGTAGTGTTTCGTTGTTAGGAGAGTGTGAAAGTGATCAATAACGTCTTCATTTTCAGAGGGACCCTTTTATTCAGATGTATGAGGAGCGGTCAGTTGACGTAGCCGCCTATGTTTGTAGGCTTATGGACCAGATGCCTGCGTCTCCCAGTTCCCCTATGTATATGGATTGAAAGCGGGAAAAAAAATTAAAAAGAAATTTCTTCATTAAGATCAACCAGTCAATGGAGAAACTGGGTGGGGGGAAAAAAGACGTAACAAATATCGATCTAAATTTGCTTGGTCCCCATGCTGCACAGTCAAAAAAATGTATAGCTTAAAAATAAATAAATAAATAATAAAAAAAAAACCTTAAAAAAAAAAAAAAACACCATTTGTAAATAGAGGTGGTGTTTGTTTCCAGTATGGTAATTTTATAAATTCACCTATGCTCACAAACATCGGTGAAATTATAGGTCATTTTTCATCTATTGTTTCAGTCCCTGTTTACTTGGTGGCTGAGGGTCATTGTTTTTTTGCCCCTCAGACTAGCTGAAGTCATTAAATTATCCTACAGAAAGCTCACTGACAAGCAGTGGTAGCAGTGTTTCTATGGCAACAAATAAGTCTTCTCTTTAGTCCTCTTGAATAGAGGTATTTAAAAAAAAAAAAAAAAGGAATTGTTTGGATATATAAGCTATCCAGAACAGGAAATAGACTGCTTGTCTTTGGTGATGTGCTGGTCAAACACGAATTAGTCTGTTTGCGCATGTTGCACACTCACTCTTGCACACAAACACAGTTTTGTGTTCTGGCGAATTTAAAGAATCAATCTTGCTTCGTTTTCCAAACTGGTATAGATTATCAAATATAATGTAAGAAAATTTTAAACATTTTTTTAATGGTGATACTTAAAGTGTGTTGGCACTTGAGTCAGTCAATCATTGATGCAAACTGGTGAGTAGTAGTGATTCCTAAAATAGGACATATACATGGTATATAGTTTCAAATTCAAAAACTCGTAATTACAGAACCAAACTCATTAGTAGGTTCTCTTAAAAAGATTTGTTTTTTTGGACTGGTCCCACCTTTTATTGTTGTGCTTTAATGAAAGCATTGTGTTTGGTATTCTACTAGAGCTGCGCTTCTTCAGGTTCATATTGTCAGAATTGATGTTGGACTGGCAGTCCAGTTAGTGCTCCCTCTTTCGTGAACTATTCTATATGTATGCTGATGTAAAAATAAAAAGATGGGAAAAGTATGTTTTGTCACTTATTTATATTTCTCATTTGCGCCGAACATTAAAAAAAAACACCCCGGAAGTCTACTTCAGTTCTTATGAATCATATCTAAAACAGTCTTTTACAACCTTCACTGAGCCATGGCACATATTTTACTTTTTTTATTTTATATTTTTTAATCTCACGGTGCACAACCAAACAAAAATGTCTGTTTTGTTGAATGCAACACTGATATACTCACAGAACCATGGAGCTGTTCATTTTTGGTTTTATAGTCAACAGCTGCCACCGACTGGAAAAATAATTTAATTGTTCTTTTTGTAACTGTCATAGATGGACACAAATGATTAGCACTTAAATAAATAATAGTTATTTTACCAATTAAGTGAAATTATTATATTTTATTATATGGTACTTGTGATGATCTCTCATGGCACACTAATGACCCATTGCGCAATGGTTGAAAGTAAGTGGAAAAAAGTCATTCATTGGTGCAGATGAAATATCTGTAGAATTATATATATATATATATTTTAATTTTACCTTGTTCTTTAACACCACCCTAAAGAGAAAGGGGAAAATATGATCTATTAAAGTGGTTCTTAAACTGTGGTCCGTGCGAGTGCTCTCTAGTTAAATAAGAAAAAATATGTAGCTACTTGTGAGATTATGAAATAGAAAGCTAATAGGGAAGGCCTATGCTGCTATATGCTAATGTTGGTCATCATGGTGGCACTCGGAGAGCTCAATGTTTTCTCAGGTGGTACAGAGTATAAAGCGTTTGAGAACCACTGATCTATATATATATATACGTATATATTAATTATATATATATATATATTTAATTATTAATACTCAATGTTTTCTCAGGTGGTACAGAGTATAAAAAATCTATGACATTATCTCATAGAATCTATGAGATAATGTAATTAATTAATTAATACTAGCAATAGCAATCAATTGTCTCAACAATAAATAGTATCTCCAGCAGAAACATTTATGTTATGAACAGTTCGCATTTTCAAATGTTAGTTCAAAGCTACTACCGATATTTCTTTAATTGTATTCACTCCCCGGTCAATTTTCGATAAACAATTTAAATAATATGTATATTTACTTGGCCTTTGGGCTTAATAACAGAAGTCTGAGAAGGGTTTAGGAGGCACGGTAGGGCGTTAAATTAGTGCAAACTTTCAACAAACACAGCAGCACAAACGTATTTAACCGCGCACAGCAAATTGAACGAGTGGCGGACAGGCAAGGGATGAGCCAATCAGCGTGAGGAACAGAAGAGCATGCTCAATGCTGTGTTCGAACTCCAGGTAAACAAAGCTACCAGCTTTTAGTTTTTGCTATATTTTTTACAGTTTATTTATTTAGGTCAGAAATGTATTTTTTATCACGAAAAAAAAGGTAAAACATTAAAGCGGAAGCTCTCCCATGGTTCGCGCTTCTACTGCGACACGGCCTGACCAAAGAAGTGCACCGCTGCGAGTGTGAGTAGAAGTTGCTTTTTTGTTTGTTTGTTTGTTTGTTTGTTTTTTTACGTGTTGAATTGACAAGTTGCTCACCGGGTACCTCACCGTCCGCTATAATGTTGAAATAAATTGATTTTGTCGGTGATATGCTGTGTTGTGGTTGCTTGTGTACGCTGGTTTAGATTTAAGCGGTTTAGCATTTAGCATGTTGGTGTGCATGTCCGCAGTATGGAGTCTGTGGAACTTTGGCGCTGTTTCTACTGTTCAACACATTGGCTGCAGGGAAACAGAAAACAGTTAAAAACCTTACGTTTTAAATACTATATATATCCTACTCGCTCCCTATGTGTGTTTGCTGAATAAAGAAAGGAAGGAAGGGAGAGGTTTTGACCTCGCAGTATTTGGTCAGTACATCAAACAATAGCAGGAACAGAATGTAGTTTCTGGATTGACCACTGGGAAAATGTCCTTTATCCTGCAGGAGACAAACTCCAGTGAGCAAAAATTAGTGGCAGCATCAGAAATAAATACTGGTAATGGGATTATTAATTACAAAGAAAAAGGAAAAATGATCAATAATTACTGTAGAGGAAGCGAGAAAAGCATAAACATTAGAAGAAGAGTATATATAAATATATATATATATATGTATATTTATATATACATATCTGTACTACTACTAAGAGAGTAGAAGCAGGTCAAGGAGATGAAGCTGATTGACAATGAGTCTTCAAAACTTGGCTAGAGAAGATATTTGACTGATTATTAGGTAAAAAAATCTTGTCAACTTGTGTTTTGACATTCTTGCGCATTTCGTAGGAGACACGTTGTATCACAAATTCATTTTTTTCGCCCTGTTGTCACAGTGATGTGTTGTGTTTGGGTCAAGTAAAACTGTATTCACAAAGGAGAGCGGCGAGGCTATGGTAGCTGCATTTTTTGCTGATCGATTTGTTTACTACTTTATTGACATACTATTAAAATGCTCATTTGCAACTTTGACAACCGCACTGCATAACGACCGTCATTTAAGGACATATTGGCTTTAGTTGTGATTTTCTTTTTCTGATTTTTTTTTTTTTCCCCCCTCGTTTTTTCATTTTCTTTTTAGATTTCTGACTGTTAACTTTGCCTGGTGAGACCATTGCCTTTCTTTTTTCATTCTTTTTTTGAGTCACATGATTCTGGAAGAAAGAATATTCATTGACATTAATTGTTGAGCGTTATTCTGGTTTTGTATGTGTATGTTATGAGAGTAATTATTTAGGCTTAACTCAATAATTAGAGGTGTAGAAGCCATATATTGAATCACAGTCGATTATTTTAGTCTGGCTGTCACAGTGACGTGGTGTTTGGGTCCGTGTGTGTGGTATATGGAGAGTTGCATTTGTAAGGTAAATGTATGTACATGTAAATGTATTTACGTATATATGTAGGAGAGTGGCGAGGCTATGATAGCTGTAATTTTTGTTGATGGCTTTGTTGACAGCTTAATATGAAGCTGGAACGTTTTTGGAATGCTAATTTGGAACACTTTGACAACTGCACTGCGTGTGTGTATGTAAGTAGAAGTAGTGATACTAACAGTGTGTTTGCTAATAAATACCATAAAGTTACCTTATATTTTGTATTACAGCCAGAACAACCAAAGATAATAGCATGTTTCCTGTTGGCATTTTACCCCTTAACTATGCTTTATTAACTTGGTCAATCAATCAACTGTGGCCTAAACATGTGCAAGTGAAACTTCCTGAATTGTTTATTATAAAATACAAACCTTTGCAAACCAAACCATGCAGGTCAAAGGTTTGTATTCTACCTATTCGTTTGGTTTTATGTTTCAACAAGGATGTCTTTGATAATAGCTACACAAACTTAAATGTGTAATAAATAAACAGAAAAAGAAAACAGTTTTATAGGGTTAAACATAAAAAACCCCACTTGATTTCTTTTACATATTTATTTTGATCAAATATTCAATTATATCAAAGGAGCAATGTTCTGAATTGCACCTTTTTTTAAAATCTATATTTGAATATTTTTTTTGGCCTCTTTGTAATTTGTAGACATGCCTCTGTCTCAAATAACATTTGATCAGTTAGTGCTTTTGCCTCAGCAATAAGTCTATCCCTGGCTACCTGGGACCATCCAATAGTACTTTCTACATGGGAATTTATTATTAGTTTTATTTTTAAGCATTCTTCATGGGACATCTGAACTGCAATTATTATTCTGCAAGTTATGAACTAAAACACTGTATTATTACACTATATTATTGAATTTTTTGATACTGTATGTAGCACTGTTTTGTTTTTGTTTGTTGTTTTTTTTTAGCTAATGCTGGTCACAGCAGATCGAACATGCAACAGCAAAAATGAGAGCGAGTATTAAAAATAAAAGCCTCCTTTGCCAGTCTCTTGTTAAACATATACAGCATTGGACAATATGCTGCGTTACTTGTCGTTCATTCATTCCATCGATGCCCCCCTCCCAGCAATGGCACTGTGCCCCCCACTTTGGGAACCTCTGGCTTAAAGTTAGAGATAGGGATTTAGTGAGGTCATAATAATAAAATAAGGTAATGATGGATTGATTTGTCTTTATGATAATGTTTTTGGTTTATTATTATTGTTGTATCTGTTGGACCTTTTGAGACATATTAAAGTCGCATGACTGCAGTTACTGGTTAATGAATTGTATTTTTTAATAAAACAATATAAGGGAAAATAAATCTAGTGCTGCAGTGTTCTCTTAAGTGTCTGTATGAACTGGAAGTCTGTTTGTCCCAATGACTTGACCTGTGGTTCTGAGGCTCTAGACTTGGTTAAAGGTCTATGGTCTGAGTTTAGGTCAACATGTTGCTAATTTTAGGTGAAGAAAGCAGGACTTTGGCCGATAAATAGGCAGCACTGATTGTAGATGGTGGCCCATATTCTGAATACTAGATGTGGGCCCATATTCATTATTGTATTTGGCTTAAAAGACTGTTGGGACATTGTGCCAAGAAGTGTGCATGTAATTATTAATTTTCCTGGAATTGTTGATATTGTTCTGGTTATATTTCAACACTCACCCTTATATTGTAACTACAATAACAAAATTCTTGTCAACAAAGTTAAAGAGAAACAAGCATATTTATTGGTTTGGTAACCTTTGTCTTATAATTATTAAAATCACTATCTAGAACAGACAATTTAATATCAACTATTCTGACCTTTGTACTAAGGTTAGATTCAACACCTTGAAAGGAAACTTGAAAACCTTCCGGTCTCTCACAACCTAAAAAAGCATTTACCAATAACATATATATATATTTATAAACATACATTACAAACAGTGATACAAGCACAGTCCAGGCCTGATCCTAGTCCTGACAAAAGAACTTATGCAAAACCATGTAAGCGCCCGTATATGGAGTCTTCTTTTAATGCTTTGGAATGCATGAGGAAATGCATGATATTAGGCGCCCTGGCTGGCATAGGCCAACACAAAACAAACATAATTTCATAACACCATTTCCTCCATCAATTCTCTGATTGCATTAAATGGGAGGTGAAGATTCCCTGTTTATTGCAGGCTTTTTTTGGCAAACTTTTATAACACCAATTTCAATATGCAATATGGGTATGGTTTTGGAGGTCCACAAGTACTGTCATTACATATACAGTACATATACAAATGAAAGGCGGGACCTCTTCTAGCAACATTAGAGCCTGACATTCAGCTAATATACAGTATTTATGGTCCTGATTAGTGAGGCTGATAGATGGGTGGATGGATGGGTGGGTGGGCAGATGGATAAATAGATAGAAAGATAGATAGATAGGTAAGTAGGTTTAGTTGTTTTGGGTAACAATCATGAAAATGCCTGGTGAAAGAATAACTACAGACCAGAAACAGTTTACAGGTAAGACTTCTTTATTTATTGATTGATATTTCTCACACTTCTCACACATATTTACTGTAAATGCCAACATTTTTCCCGTGTTACATAACCAACTCTAGTTTACTAACATATGCGATCATTTTGGTTAGCTTAAGAAAAAAGGGCTGTTTTGAATAAGAAGTCTACGTGTCTGTCTTAAGGAGTGTTTGCCACCACAGGTTTGATTTTCATTGAAATAGCTTTGAGAGAATATTCATATCCTCTCCAAGAGTTCCAGTTGATCCCAGTGCCAAATTCTGAGGGGCCCCATGCATATATTCCATTGGGGTTAGATGTGTGGCAAGATCCATACCACCATCCTCCCTTGAAACGCGAAGCACAGTTTGAATACCAGTTGTCGTTATCCCGATCCCACGTTGTAAATTTCTTACCATTGTGATACCCGAGTGAATCTCCTGAAATTAAAAAAAAGACAAGGACAATTTAAAGACACAAAAAGCCATTTACTGCCATTTTGTATCTAATACCATTATCTACTGTACACAGAAATTCACTCTAAACTTAAAACCTTAAAG